AATAAATTCGTTTCTTCCCGGAAACAATGGTCTTTTCTCTATAACAGCGCGTTCATAGATTTTAATAAAACCTTGTCATCGTTCCTATGAAGAGCCAGTTTTTAGAATAAACGGCTTAACGGCAGATTTATACCAATGCATTCGAAGTATAAAAAGGCAAAAGGGTTAGTGCGCATGCATTGCGTTCGTAAAAATACACTTTTCCATAATAGGAGGATAGCATCAGCGCAAAGGTGCGTTGCTCAAGACAATTTGCCTCCAAATCATGGCCTTTACTTAATATGTCAGCCACTTATGCTCTTTCTCCTAAAGTGCCCTAAAAAGTACGAGGCAGGCGGACGTAACATATTATAATTATTTTAAAACCTACCTAACCTAATTGCATCTGCTTGAAAGGAAAAGCGTTACTTCTGAATGCCCTTAATTAGGAGCATCGAAAGGTTTCAGGTCTGAGTCATGAGATACACATTTCAGCTGACCCATAAAACGTAGGCATAATTAAATTGAGTTTTTTGGCCCCAGACTTTCCCCTGAGCATGTGACCTGTGTGGAAGGTCACGCAGCTGGTGTCTCATGGACGTTTTATTTAACAAAAAGATTTAATTTCCCTAGGTTACAATATTAAACCGCACCAAGATTTTGATACTAAACATCCTCACCAGTATAAATGAAAACGAACAATTTTGAGAACTACTGTATCCTTTCGAATGGGTACTTCATAAAACATCAGATCAGGTAAACATATCTGAAATGTTTCGAATGCTGAATCCCCGTCAAGCATGTCCAAATATGTAAGGTAATTGCTACGCCCCCATAGCTTTACGGGTTAGATAAAAGTCTGCTCCCAAAAATTTAAATTCTCACCAGTTGAGTGATGATAAGCAACTTTGAGAACTACCGTACAGTTTTCCATGCATATATCGTAAAATTTTAGGTCAGGAAGACATATCTGACATATGTGGACCGCAGAACCATTAACATATATCTCTAAACATATTAAATTGTGTGCTACGTGGTCTTATTTCCTTAACCTTTATTGGCGCCGTAGTAAACGCTTACGCTCTCATTTTCCGGAAGGTTCTTAAGTATTGTTACCAGGCAGTTAATAGGAATGTTTACAGCAGTCAACTTCAATTCTTATCTACTATTTTTTTTACTATATTTAAAGAAGGATGAACATTATCAGTGGAATAGTCGATGGCCACTTGTGTATCTGGTAACTAAATTGCCATTTCAAAGAATAATCAGAAGATGACGAACATAGGTATATATCTGAGTCAGAAGGTGTGCGATTTTGTAAAAATGCGACGAAACAAGACCTGCGTTGTCCATGGATTTTACGAATATCTCATTTTAGAATTTATAGGTCGATCGTGTGGATTAAATCAGCAACCGAATCAGTATCTGCACACGCATACGTTGGCTGATTTTTGAGTGCAAGTTGGCTGTAAATAGCAATATTGGGATCTATGTGCGTCAGTGCGTTTGTACACCACAATGGATAAAGAAGACAATGAAGGAAAATTATTTAATTTGGGTCAGCTTAAACGTTGATAAACTGTGCATATATTTATCCGTCGCTGGAATTACACTGTCTGTCGTAATGCAATATGCCTTACTAGACATACTTGGTAATAAATATGAACTAGAAATCAGTGTTACCTTTATGTAGCCAAAATGTTGTGTTATCTAA